TAGGTTGGAGGCCATTGCCTCTAGGTTGGAGGCCATTGCTAGGAGGTTGGAGGCGATTAGGTTGGAGACGCTTCTAGGTTGGAGGCCATTGTTATTAGGTTGGACACAATCGCTTCTAGGTTGGAGGCAATTGCTATTAGGTTGGAGGCCAACGCTTCTAGGTTGGAGGCCATTGCTATTAGGTTGGAGGCCATCACTTCTAGGTTGGAGGCCATTGCTACCAGGTTGACGGCCATCGCTTCTAGGTTGGAGGCCATTGGTATATTAGGTTGGAGGCGCATCACTTCTAGGTGTGAGGCCATGGCAACTAGGTGGCAGGCCATCGCCACCAAAGTGGAGCCATTGCTGTCAGGTATTGCTGGTAGGTTGGAGGCACGCGCGCGCAGGTTGGACGGCATCGCTAGTAGGTTGGAGGCCATCGCTAGTAGGTTGGAGGCCATCGCTAGTAGGTTGGAGGACATCGCTGGTAGGTTGGAGGCAATTGCTAACAGGTTGGAGACCATCGCTCCGAGGTTGGAGGCCGTTGCTATTATGGAGCCTGGAGCATCGCTTCTAGGTTGGAGGCCATTGCGATTAGTTTGGACGCCATTGCTATTAGGTTGGAGGCAACTTTTTAATCTTGTGGTGGGTTCAGCCCGAAGTAGGTAAAAGCTTGTGAATTGTCAAGTTGCTTGCGTGTACTTGATTGAAATCGCACTTTTTTGTTTTGCGTGTACTTGCTTGCATGAGCGCTTATAAGTTGAGCGTGACTTGCAGCTGTGTCCCGCAGCCATTTCGTGGTGGGTAAACATGCGTCCTGCGGCGCGGTGCTTGCGGACGAACCTCAGTTGACTTTGGATAGTCCAAGCATGCAGGTCATGTTGAGTCACTTGCACAAGCCCTACGTGGTGATGGAGAGGAATGCGTGCGTTATTGATTTTCCCTTTTTGCTATCCTTGGCCAGGTGTCAGTATGGATTGGGAACCCACGAGCCAATAGCAAAGCTAAGGCACTTTTGGGATTGAGTTTTTGGGTGTCACAGGGTCTTGTTCTTGAGTTGTTGCTTCCCAGACTGGGTTTGTTT